ACTTGGTATCTGCTTCTTCCCACACCTCTTCACTTTATCCCACCCCCCTGGCTCTCCCTGGCCAGCTCTATCGCTGCCGACAGTCTGAGCGGTCCTTCTTTCAATACGTCGTGACGAACACGCTCGTCGCTCAGCGCTTCTACATACAGGTCCGCCAGTTGGGCCTGCATAACCGCATTATCCCTGACCACTTCGGGAATGCCAACGACGATAGCTTCCCCGCTCGGGCCCCTAATTCTCCCGTGGTTTCATCCCGTAGCTGTGTCAGTTTTAAAAGGGCCCTCATGGCCTCTATGGCCGTACCTTCGTCGGCGAATTCTTTGGTTAGCAGTCTTTTATTTCTTCCCAAGACAAGGGGGTTGGTTCTCCAAGAGCCCCTCACGAACTCAGACGCTTTTCCCTTTGTGGCATCGTATGCCAAATACAGGGTTTCTTGGTCCGAAAGCTCGTAGATGGTTCGGCTCTTCTCGAGGATTGCCAGCCAGTTTTTAAACACCTTCCCGCTGCCATCAAATACTGGGACCCTCGGTCCACCCAACAGCTTCCTTAAATCCACTGACAACCCCCCTGCCCTACTTCCTCTTCACCCCCCACCCACTGCTCTATCCGAATCATAGTCAGACATGTCTACAGAGAAAGACAGTCTATGCAGCAACAATCGAGGTTGGGAAATAAAATAAGGTGTCCTACCTTACAGACGATTCTGTTCTTTCTTTTCCTTTTGTCCCGGGTCGTTCTGAGTTCTGTCTGAATTTTCAGCAACGGCGGTCGATAGTGGTCTTCTCAGGGTTGAAATCCCTCGGTCACTGCACCACTTGTGACGTGGTTGTCTCAGGGTTGATCCTGGTCACGGCACCACATGTGACGGTTACACACCTTGCCCAGGGTCGAATCCCTTGGTTACGGCGCCAACTGTGACGTCGTTCCTCCTGGTCGCTCCTCCTGGTTCCAAGCGTGCCGCTCCAACCCCTTGGTTAGATGATCACCAGCCTCGTTTTTCCCAACTCGCCTCCAATACCTGGTTCCTGAAGCAACTGTACTGATCTCCGGTCTGTCTACCCACGCTGTGTTTAGATCTTAGACAGATGGGACCAGCAGGGATTGGGGCCGATACAAGTTGAGTCCGACGGGGGGCAAAACACAAGTAAAAGAAAAAAAAAAAACTCACGAGACAAAAAAGATTGCTGATAAAAAAAAGGTAACAACCTTTTATATCTAATGTCCGTTACATAAAAACAAAATTGTTCTCATTTCCCGACCCGCTCTGTGGACTATGGCACTAAGCTTCTATCACACAAACCTAAAGATTTCGAATTGCCTACTCTTTAGAATTGTGTATGTCGGAGTGTGGTTTAGTTCGACACTGGGGCTAATTTCTATCGATCATTCGCAGTTGATTCTTCTCTTCGACTTGAGTTGTATTTCTTCTTCTTCGTCGACTTAGATAGAACTTCTCTTGTCTTCGACTTGGGCTGGATCTTCTCTGCGGCTTTCGAGTAATCTTCTTCTTCGTCTACTTGGGCTGGAAGTTCTCTTGTCTTCGACTTGGGTGGAAAGGATTTCTTGTTTCGACTTGGGTGGAAGGATTTCTTGCCGCAACTCAGCCGCTACTCTCTGTCGTCCGAGGTGATCTCTTCTCGCTGCCGTCCGGGGCTGAACTCTGCCGTAACTCTGCCACAACTCTCGGCGTCCTTCGAGCAATCTCCTTCTTCGTCTGCTTGGGCTGGAAGTTCTCTTGTCTTCGACTTGGGTGGAAGGATTTCTTGTCTGAGGATTCTCTTGCCCGCAAAGGGGCGAGTGAATCGGGCCTGATGCCCGCGTTCAGGCTCTATCCCTGCCCGCGGTCCAGCTGCAACTCAGCCGCTACTCTCAACTCAACTCATTTCTGTCGACTGGGGTCCTGCTTTTATTGACGCCGCAGCAAACCGGGGTGGGTCTGTTGGCTTCAGGGGTTTCTCGATAATTCCAATAGCCGCATTAATTCTGTTTCCCCATTATCGCTATTGTTTTCACCCTACTTCCTCACAGTGCCTTTGGTGGGGAGGCGTACACCCATCTCTCCCGGTTTCTCGTATGTCAGGTGACCGTTTTTTGACCAATGGTTCCTGATCGAGCATTCTTCCTTTCTTTCCGCATATCACGTGACCGCTTTCGGCTAATGAGATTGTGGTTGGGCGCCTCCATCTCAAATCGGGCGTGGCTTACATCGTTCTTGTTTTTAAAAACAAAATCTAATTTTGCCCTTTTTTCACGTACGAAAATGACAATCTTGGCTTTTTCTCACCTGGGCTCTGTCAAAACAGCCTGCCGCTAATTAGATGTGACTTCAGGAAAGAATATTGGCGCCATCTGTGAGCTGAGACAATCGTTTTTCACCTCTTGTTTTTTGTCAGACCCGACAGTCAGAAAATCTTAATTATCTACATTGAAAATGTCCCCACTTTATTATCGTGGGTTTCCAATTCTTAACAGGCCAGAATCTGTATACCGTTCCACAGGTCACTCCCCTCAACCCAAAAAGACACTTTTCTCCGATTAAAAAAATTTCGTTTCTATTGTTCTAAAAAATTTCCCTTTCTCCGAATTGATAATGAGTCTTTCTACGCAAAAGTCGGTCATGTGCTTCGACCGATTTTTTATTATCAATACACTCTTATCAAGCATTGTCCCTTCCACTCTCTAAATGACTTTCCCTTCTAAATAACAAATCCCATTGTTCTTTCGAAAATCGGCCAAGATGTTGGCCTAATTACCTTTCTGATACGTGTTTTTGTTAATGACCGCTTTTTGTATTTCTCGACCTCTCTCTTTTGCTTTTTCTCTTTATTTCTCTTCTTTTTCTTTTAGGATCGTCTAAGTACAACTTAGTGAATTATTTTCAACTCAATTATTTTCCGTAAAAAAAAAAAAAATCAACAACCTGTTTAATAAACCGAGTAAAAAAAAAATTAAATCATATTTCTATGAATATTTCTAATAATGCAAGGTGCCACATATATATATATATAAGGAAAACGATATACAAATTATTATATATCAGAACAATTTTATGAAAATCTGACAAAATAGAAAATTTGTTTTCATATGACGCATTTTGTTCTTTAAGATTTCATCAGACTAAAATGTTTACGTTGATGCGATTGTACATGTGCATGAAAGAGAAGGAACGTTTAAATTTTTAATTTAATCTAATTTTATTTTTTAGATATGTGTTTGGGGATATAGTCTAGTCTATTTCTTTTTCTATTCGTTAATGTTTTTATCACGTTTGTTGTTAAATATCTTACATTGTGAAAATAGAAGATCTGCGAAGAAAGGTGAAATGTTTTAAGAATCTGGACGTTAATTTACTGTGGGTGATATAACGATCAAAGCGCTTTCTACACACTTTGATCTTAGTTAAATGCTTTGTCTTTTAATTAAATACACACGCGCGCGTGCGCACACACATGCCCTCACGCACATACATATAAGTTAAACAAGCATAAATAGATCCAATTTAAAAAAAAAAAAACAGTTTGATGATCGCAAAAGCGTGAAACTCAAGAGTCACAAACTCATATTCATACAACCAACTTATATAATAAATTACAAGAGGGAAAACCTTTTACGCCAACGCAGTTCGTTCCTTGAAGTACTTTATCAAGGCAAATATAAAAATTTTATTTGGGAAGCTGTAGTTATGGACATAGTAAAAAGTAACGTTGAGAAAAATAGCATAATGCGTTCAGATTTTGCATTAGAGAACGCTCAAAAATATTCAAAAATCTCTCGGCGTTAAGGAAACGAAATTATTTTTCTGAACGTTACTTTTCTATCAGTATAAATACAGGTTCCCTAGCAAAATCTCTATATTTTCGTTGATAAAGTTCCGCAAGGAACAAAACGCATTAGCATAAAGGGTTTTTTCTCTTGTGATTTCTTTTATCAATATTGTGATTGCATATACTTATTTATATCTGAATTTTTGACATAAACACACACACACATATGTGTGTGTTTGTGTGTGCGTATATGTATGTGAATTGAGATCAAATACAGATCAAATATGCATTGGAATCCGTCAAAAATAAGGAACAAATAAGAAACGTTTATAAATTTAACATGTTTCGCTTTTATTAAAGCTTCACAAGAGAATGCAATATGGAGGAAAAAAAGAACGTTTTAGTATTTTTAATTTTTGTGTTGTTTACTTAACCAATGAAAAACAAACAACACAAAAATTTAAAATACCAGAATGTTCTTTTTCTCGTTCATATTTCATTCTCTGGTGAAGCTTTAATAAAAGCGAAACATGTTAGATTTATAAACGTTGATGGGGAAAACGTTGCTGCAAATCGGCGTAGGACCATCCCTAGAGGATCTGTGACGTTCTATCAGAAGGGCCCGGCACGCCCAGCCGCGTCCACCACGAAAACTCCTCTATTTACTCCTGCTCACGACTCTTCAGGAGTAGATTGGGCGTTCACAGCCATCTCCACCACCGTCATGACGATTCGGATGCGAGCGTGTGCCGACGAATAAATGCCTTCTATCTATTCCTTATCCTATCATATATATATATATATATATATATATATATTTGCGTGTGTAGCACTCACTTTTCATAGAGCGCATATCTTAGACAGAAATGACGTGAAGTGACATTTAGATACTAAGTAAATTGACCAAATACTTCGAATCTTGACAGAAGTGCGAATCTGTTGCTAAATAAACCCGTCATTTTAATGGAAATATGTTAGTGTCGTTATGAATGCAATTAATTGCCGTATTATTCATTATTCAAGAAAATTCATAAAAAATGGCTTTGTCTCATCTAGAATTATTAGTAAACAGAAATAAATAAAATGACATGAACAGTGTGGTCTAAATTCAAACTTTTCGAAATCCTTTACATCCCTCTGTACATTCCTCGAGCTCCCAGAATTTACAGGTCTCCCAGAATTTATATGTGCCTTCTTCTTTTTCCCCCGTTGTGCTTTCTTTATCAGTACACACAGGAATTATTCAGCTAACGCATGCTTGATGCCTGTTTGCGCAGCTCATGGTTTGGCAATTACTACTGTAGAAGGCATTGGTAGTATTCAAAATGGACTCCATCCAGTACAGGTAAGTGAACGTTTTTCTTTGTTCAACAATGGATAAATTGTAAGTACACTTAGTCGTGTAAAGTTGGGTTTTTTTTTGTTTTTTTTTTGTTCTTTGTTTTTTGTTGTTGTTTTTTACCATCGGTCATTATGACCTTAGAAAACACATTTTTAAATACAAAAGCAGAAAGATAATAAAAATCTGTTTAAGACATTTTACGTCTAAATAAAATTAATGTAAATACCAACAATCTGAGGTGTCATCTTACTTGAGTGATTTTAGCATTTGTAAAGATTCTTTCTTTCTATATAGTTCTCTCTATCTCTTTGTCTTTCCCTCTATCTCTTTTAACAATTTTGATAACTTCTGTTCAGATATAATTTTTTTATGCAATTTCTATTCATACAATAAAATTTTTAGAGGATCGTTGCGGATTTGAATCAACACACAGCAAAGCAAAGGGCCACAAATGGTTTTTAAATATATAATATTTTTATTTTCGTGTTTTTAAAACTAATTTTTTCTCAGTGTTTATGAGTGTTAAAGAGTTCTTGTGTTGAAGTTCCTGGTTTGTAGATTTTTGTTAAAATGAAAAGAAATGTGATTTTTTCTCGTGAACATATGAGAAAAAAGAAGCAAGGGAGAAAATGAGGAAGAAAATGTGCCACCTATCTTGGTGAGAACATGTATAAATGTCACGTAGCATGGTGAAGAAGAGTGTAAGTGTCAAGTAGCTTGGCGAGGAAAAAGGTTGAATGAGTAAGGGAATCTCTTTGAAGCCGCGCATTGAACAGATGTCACATGTCTCATCTCCTTAATTGTTATGTCCATCTAGAGACTTTGCTTAAATACTCTTCAAATGGGTCACGAAGCATTTTTTTATATCGTTGGTGGGAACGCGACCTGTTGGTTGAAAAATGTTAAATATTTATTTTTAAAGGATTCATTTATTAACCGGGTGGATGCGTGAATTCTCCGACTCAGAAACCTTTTTTCTTTTGTCATTTGATGATTGAATGTCTTGGTGTTTATTTCTGTCTTAGCTCTACAAGGTAAATACGAAATATAAAATCTGTAAAAATTTTCTAAATTTCTTTAATTTTAGGAAAGAATTGCTAAGTCCCACGGTTCGCAGTGTGGGTTTTGTACACCCGGTATTGTTATGTCAATGTATTCACTGATCAGAAACAAGCCAAACCCCACCATGGAAGATATAGAAAATGCGTTTCAAGGTAAGAAATCTTCTAATTCATTTCCAGCACAGAAAACAAAAACTTTCTAAATTATTAGGTTGGGTCACAATTAATTTCCGTTTTGTTTATCAATTTTTTTTATATAAAGTACATATTTTAGTCAATTATATAATCACTGTTATTTGCAATAACTTGTTGCCACATACCAGGCAGCACTCTTCGATAACTTCGGAGTAAATTTCCACAGGTTTTGACGTGAAAAAGTTTTCAAGTAACTTTTAAATTTGATCTTCATTAGAGAAGGTTAGCCGTCCAGATACTTTCTGAGCGACTGATCGGTTCAACTCTCTTCCTACGGGCGGAAAAGGCCCGAAGGAGGCTACGCCGAAGGCGGAGTCTCCTTCGGGAGGTAAAACTGGCCCCTGAACCCGTTTATACGGGTTCAAATGGGTTATTTTTTGCCGAGCCTAATGGCTCCAGGGAATGCCCACGTTAAAAAGGCCTTGTGCCACATGACACCCTCGTGGGGGGGGGGCTAAATATCTTAGAGAAGGTTTCCTGATCCGAAGCGTTTTGCAACAATCTAAAAATACAATAATTGGTTTCTACAAGGTCATGTGAATATGACAAGTGACGGTAGAATAGAGCAACCGAGTTCCAAATCTTTTTCCTGTGTTGTTCTCTCCTATGCAGCCTTGTATTGTCATTCAGCAACATATTTCCTTTAATCCACCGTGTATGCTTTCACTGCCGTGCAAGAACTGAAGTATGTTAGCGTACATCAAATTTATTCTTAAATACTACATATAATTAGTAGTTAGGATGACACATTCGCCATTCCAAATGGACCCCTAAAATGGAAATTATTTATGACTTAACCTTGTTTTATGAATTTTTAAAATCATATTTTGTCAAGTTTTTTTCTTCGATCCGACTTTTTCACAAAAAATTATCTGCATGTTTCTGAATCTTAGAAATGCTCTACATATCATCTCCTTTTATATTCTGTGTCTCTTCAAGACATTACCGGTCATGGCTCTCCACAATTTCCTGTCCTTTATAGTTCTTATTAAATGTCCGTTTGTTATCTCTCCTAAACCCTGGTCTGCTATCAATTTAAAGCTCGCTCGGTCGGTTATGCGTTGTCCTCATCTCTCCCTCTTGCCTTCAATCTGTCCTGTGGGTATCAAATTTTCCAAGCCCTCTTTCTTCATATCTTCCCGATTTTAAGTATAATTGTTCTTTTTGTTTCCACTTTCTCTAAAACTTGGTCGTTGCTCACATGCTCGGTCCATGGTATTTTCAGCATCCTTCTGTGGAAATCCATTTCTGTTGCTTCAAATCTTCATCTCTGAAGAGATTGTCCAGCATTCACTTACATATAGGAGGACTGGCAAATACGTAACAGTTCAATATTCTTTTCTTTGTTGCTAACGAAATTTTCCTGTTTCACAATATTCTTCTTAGCTTCTGGAAGGCATCTTTCGCTGTTCCATTGCGCCTTTGGATATCAGTGTCGCACTATACCACCTGGAAAATTTAAATTTTACGATTATAAGAGGCTAGACGTGATTGGAAAATAACTGTTTTTCTTCTTTAAATCAATGTCGGTTTATTCTTTGTCTGTAAAAGCTTTGAGTTATTTTAATATCACTCATTTTTATTATATTATATATTATATGATAATGCATTACATTAAATCATATTACATTACTCGTAATATATATTTTTAGGTAACTTATGTCGCTGTACTGGTTACAGACCTATCTTGGAAGGATTTTCGACATTTGCCAAGGTAAACATCTATATATACATTTTTAATCATTTCCCCCCAAGCAAGGCGATAATGCCACTAGGACGCAAGCGATTGTTGAGAGTGAAAGAGAATGAGAAGACTTTAGTAAAGAAGAAAGGAGAATAAAAGAACAGGTTTCAGGAAAACGGATGACAACAATTGTCGTTGCATCTTGAAGATGGCAGGAAAGCAAGAAACCGGAAGAGTGTTCCACAGGCGAATAGTGCGAGAAAAGAAACTAATTCGAATAGAACCTAACGATTAAATCTAGCTAGTTCGACAGTAAAATGGTGAGACCTAGTTGCCAATCTAGTAGTACGTTTAAATTTATGCAGTCAAGGCACCAAGGAGGAAAGCTCATGAAACAGAGGAGAACCACGTCCCAGCGATGGGAAAGTAACTGAAGCCGAGATGCCAGATCAGGACCGATAACATTATGCGTGTATGTGTGCGTGTGTATGCGTGCGTGTTTGTGTGTGTGTAATTATATTGTTTATATATATTGCATATATAAAATTATGTTGTTTAAAATGTGCTATACGTATCTGGGTATAGGGCATTTCTATATATAGACATTATGGACATAAAACCCAACATTTTATGGTTATGGTTTCCCGCCTAAAAACCATTTTCAGACCACGAGTCACTGCACTTTGCGCGGGATCCAGGTATAGGCCACCAGCCCTTACTAATTATTATAAATTAATTATTAAATAAATAAAATAAACAAGCAAAAGATCAGGATTGTAAAAAACCTAAAACATTAGCCCACCAAAAAGGACTTATAGGGGCCGGTTTCTGTCTTCTACTTCTCAAGAGCTTGTATTTAGAGCCCGCGCAAGGAGTAGTGACACATGGTCTAAAATGACTTGAATTATGAAGCTGACATTCAATGTTGATTTTTATGTCCACACTCATATGTGTGTGCATGTGCTCATATATACACGTATGTACATACGCCTTTGCGTACATAATGCACTTATGTTGATCGCGCTGTAAGCAGTTCTATTGATATATGAATACTGACAATTTAAAAAAATTTTTATTAAGTACCATTAATGCTTCAATCACATAAAAATTTTATATGAAATGCTAATATGAACGCATATGTCCAATACATTCATATATGATATTCTTTCTTCAGGGCTGCGGAATTAATGGTAAATGCTGTCAACAAAATGGAAATAACTCAGTAGACAATAAAGTAAGCCGAATTTCCATTTTGAAATTCAGAGAATAATCTTTATCTACAACTGCTTCTATTTGCCGTGTCTCTTCAGGACGTTGGTGAATATGGCTGTCCAAAATTTCCTGTCCATTATAGCTCTTAATGAATGTTTTTGCCGTCTATTTAATCAAGACATATTAGTCAAATTTTATAACGGGTATTTAAACACATGACTCCAATTTCGTAAAGTTTTTATTCCAGCTGACATTTGACGCTGCTCTCAATAACCGAGAGTAAATACAATCTTCTTCTAAGTACTGTGTTTCTTCAGGACGTTCACGATCATCACCCTCTACAATTTCTTGTCTTTGCAGATCTTAGTAAATTGTTCTCTCTCCTAAACCCTGTTCTGCCATCCATTTACTCAAGCTCGTTGGGGTGGGTTATGCGTTGTTTTCCTCTCTGTCCCTCCTGTCTTAAACCTGTACTGTGAGTATTAAATTTTCCACTCTCTCTTTTCTCATTATGTACCCCAGAAATTTCAACTGTTTCTTCCTAGTGTTAAGTATAAGTGTCCGTTTTGTTTCCATTTACTCTAAGCTTCTTCGTTGCTCACATGTCCAGTCTATGGTATTCTCAGCATCCTAATATTTTACAAGAAAAATATTCAAAATGTATTCTAAAACTTCGTCTGCGGAATTAATGGTAAATGCTGTCAACATAATGCAATTTAGTAGACAACATATTTAGTGGAATTTCAATTTTGAGAATTTAGAGAATATTCTTTATCTTCATCTAAGTCATCTTTTGCAGGAATTTACTCGAAAAAAATGGCTCTTGCTGCAAGCGGCTAATTTTCTGCGAGTAATCTGGCCCTTTTAATTGGGCAGGCCCGCTGGAGAAGATACAGAAATATGCTTTTCGCTGATGAAAGTGGTTAATAATATGACAGCGTGAAAATCGCGATAAACACTTAAATATGAGTAGATACGTCTGTCCGTTGCCCGGTTCACACTTCTCCCCGGTCTTTTAAACAGGAGTAGATGTTTATCCTTTGATTCCTGTTTAGAATTGGGTTTCCTGTTCTATGGTCTACTTCAGCTCCTCACAATTGAATTGACTGAATGTAATCGTAATTTCTATGCTAACAGTTTCTTTTCTTGCACTTCTCGCTTGTGGAACTCAGTTCTGGCTCCATGCTTTCAAGCCAACTTCGATCTTGAAAAATTCAAATTGCAGTGTCTGTCCTCTTAATTACTCATCTATTGTTCCCGCTTTTTAATAATGTTTTGCTTTTTTTTCTTATTCTTTCACTTTGTGTCTTAGTGGGTTTACTGCCCTGCATGGAGTGATATGATTAAAACAAAAGAAAATAAATTTGGTAAAACAAACAATACTTGAAAAATATCTTTTTCTCCTGTTTGGATGAGCTCTTTTATAATATTCTTACAGGGTTGCGGAGTCAATGGCAAATGTTGTCAACAGCGTAACACTGGTTCACTCCAAAACAACAAAGTAAGTATTTCATTTTTATTCTTCAATGTTCAATAAATTGTTTCTGTTTTCTCATTAATACTTTATGCATAGAATTACGGTATAAACGTCAAACACACAAGTCAAAATCCTAGACTTTTCGTCATGCATATCCTATATCAGTAAACTTAGCCTCATATAAGGAAACGATAATTTAAAACCTTCGGAAAGAATAAACATAAAATGGTTGAAATTAGCCAAATAAATATCATAACTATGATATTGATCATATATATGCGCGTGTAGGTGTATATACACTACAGTTCAAAAGTTTGAGGAAACCCTTTTAAATTTTTAAATTGGTCAAAAAGTAGTTGTTTTGTACTTTAAGTAAGAGACATAGTGAGACATGATTTTCATTAGAAATGTTTTTATGACAAAAGAAAAAAGTATTTTATGATTGAATCTTGCTCTCGTCAAAATATCCTCCTTTAGTCTTGATTACTGCAAGACAAATTTTTGGTATTCTTTGCAAAATTTTCTCAAAGCATAAGTTTGATAATTGATTCCATTCTTTTTTCAATGACTTTAATGACACTTTTTCATTTTTGGATGAAAAAGTTTCACTCTTCTGTCAAGTTCATCCCGTGCTAATTTTGAGGGTTGTTTCACACTTTTAAGCTGTAGTGTATCTGCGTGTGTGTTCTATTATAAGAAACGAACAGATAATGACGACACAGCCTTTTGGTATCGAATTACTCGCTTCATTGTTGGTGAAAAAATCCTTTAAAAAAGTTGGCGAAATTTAATATTCAGATTCAAGTAACTTAGACTATTGTTGGTAGTTTTTTAAGAAAAGAATGTAAAAAGCTCAGAAGTAGACAGTATGACGCTTTTACACTTCATCAATTTAAAGTTTGAAAACAAAAAACAGCCTAAGTTCACTTAGGAAATAGTTTTTGGCAAATATGACTTTAAATTTTTGAAGGCAAATCACTTGTTTTATTAATTTTATTAATAGTGTGTTGTTCGTTTTTGAGAATTGCTAAACACACATACATACACATACATATATATAGATAGATATAACAACTCGTTGGAACAGTATCAAACTCTGTTCCAACGAGTGTTTATACCTATATAGCCACGAAACTCCGAAGTAAACATGAGTTAAGTGAAAAAAAAAATTCATATTAATTCTATTAACGCTCTATCTTCGATTTTGAGCGCTCTACTACAAAGCTTTCTTGCTTTAAATGCCACCTTTATCAGCAAACCACTGAAAAACCAGCAATTTTGGCCCCAAAAAAACAGTATTTCCAATTAACACTATATATATATATATATATATATATATATATATATATATATATATATATATATATATATATATTTATCTAATATATATATATATACAGTGTATCACAATATTTTGAGTTATTTTGAGGGAAAATAAATTAATTCTGTTATATATGCTGCAGACAGGCTACTTTTCATTGTGTCAAAGTGTCATTTTGTCAGTGTTGTCCCATGAAGAGATATACTTAAATATTTGAAGAAATGTGAGGGGTGTACTCACTTTTGTTATATATATATATATACTTGCAGCATGGCCCGGCATTGCCCGTGCTTGATTCAAAAATCGTACAAGTCGTGCGATTTTTGGGTATCATTTGACTTAAAATATTTTTGCCCTTCCTTGCCTTTAAAGGGGTGCCCTTTGCCGTGCTGATGTTGCTACATGCCTTACTTCTTGCCTATCTCACACTGCGAATTTTTTCTAAGCTCTATACTAAACATTAAATCTGTTACGAAAAAAGACTAAAACAAAATGAACACAAAACGGTCAGCTTTAAAAAGGGACTCGTAACTGGAAAAACCGAATGAAAAAAGAATGTTAACAATAAATACTTTTTCACACCCAACCCAGTTCTGCGGAATCAGAATCAACGTTGAGTTTAAGCAAGCGAATGTGCCAATTGGAGTAAAGTGCCATGCAGATTTAAATTTTTCCCACTTGTGACGAATGCAGCTATCGATTTTTATTTATTTATTTTTTTTTTTGCATGCTAGCATGCTAGTTAATATTCGTGTCAGTCAGCTGTTCGCTTTCATGCTGTGCAATAGAATCTTCTTGCCTATTTGTGGCAGCCAGCTCTAGGCTCTCACCCTGGTCAGTACAAAATGGCCGCAAACTACATGAAAACTACCGTAGAAGCATGAAAAAATCTATTATTTCCATTATCGATGGGAGTTGAGAAATGCAAAGTTGGTCTTGGCCTTCCCGCTAACTTGGAGCATGTGCATGCAAATTTTGGTGCAAATCCGTCGAAAATTGCGGCCGTGCATTCGTTACACACACACACACACACACATCCTGCCTTTTATAGATAGAGATTCGCAAAACAAATATTCAACACGACTAATGTTGTCCGTAACTCACGTCTGTCTCTCCTAATTTTAATTTAAGTAAAGTTTTTTTTTCTTTTCAAATACAAATATAACTTGAAATTTAAACATAATCGCTTTTCAAAACTAAATTCTCAATGTATCTTACTTATTCTTTCTTTCAAAATAGTTAGTAATTAAATTCATTTACAGAGAAATGTTTGCTTCTTTCACTTTCTGTAAAAAGAAAATAACCACTAATGTAATGTTTAAAAGTTAAACTTTATTTACTTAAAAAAAACACAAATTCCCCTCCAAAATAAATAATAAATAATTATTTTTCAAAAAAGTAAGGCTCGCTATAGTTTTGGCTTGAAAAATGACTAAATTAAATATGTTTAAATGTATCTTTAAGTTAATTTACTTTTTTATTAATAATAATTTGAAAAACAAGCTAATGAACTTAGATAAATCGATTTGACTTGTTTGAAAAAAAAAACATTAACAGAGTATTTAGTAGTAAATTCGAAAAATAAAGTGTCTTTTTGAATAAAAATATGGGGATGCTCAGCCCCTTATCATCCCCTCCCCTGTGACCTATATATAGAGCCTGTTCACGAAACAGTGATAAAAGGTATGAAGAGCGCTTGTAACATGAAGTTGAAAGTGTTAATTTATATGTCCTCTCCTCTCTCTCTTTCTCTCTCTCACTTTCACTATATATATATATATATATATATATATATATATATATATACATGTGTGTGCATATGTAGGTACATGTGTATGTGCTTGACTTTGTGTACATAATGCTTTTATGTTGACCATATTGTAATTTGGTCTATTGATATATCAATGCTGGCAATTTATTAGTCTTTTTCCCTGATGAAGTCCCATTAATGCTTCGATCTCATGAAGAGTTTTAATATGAAATGCTATTATGAACGCGCATTTTATACATTCATATATGATATTCTTTCTTCAGGGCTGCGGAATTAATGGTAAATGCTGTCAACAAAATGGAAATAACTCAGTAGACAATAAAGTAAGTCGAATTTCCATTTTGAAAATACAGAGAATAATCCTTATCTTCAATTTCTTCTTCTATATGCGTTATACAGTTGGAGCTCTATGCCTTAATAAACGCGTTATAAAGTTTGACGTTTTGGCCTTAAGAAACACATTATACATTTTGACTTAAACATTTATAAACTCCTTATAAAATTTGAGTTATATGCCGTAATAAACATGTTATAAAATTTTACATATATGCTTTCATAAATGCACTGTAGTATTTGACATACGCCTTCATAAACGCGTTATAAAATTTTGGTTATATATCTTAATGAACAAATTATACAATTTGAGTTATTTGACTAAAATACGCGTGTACAATTTGGCATATGCCTTAATAAACGTATAATAAAATTTAGCAAATATATCAGTAAACGCATTATCAAATTTAACTTATATACTTTAATAAACACTTTATGAAATTTGACATATTCTGTTAGGGGAAGCTAATTTACTTCCCCTATAAAGGACGATAACTGAAAATACAATTGAATTACTTCACTTGTCTGGAAGACGAGTGTGGAACTTCTGAATTAAACATGGTGACTAGCTGACATGCACGTGGAATTCATGTTTTCAATCCAAACAGACAGTAAATGGTTAAAAGTTTTATTATATGTGAAAATACACGTGTCTTTTATTTTTATTTGTTTTTGTTTTTTCGTTTGTTTTTTTCGTTTCAACAGCCTGGGATATAACAAATTTCTTTCTAGATGCGCTATAAAATTTAATTCACATGCTTGAATTCGTTTCATAAAGTAATCAGGAGTTGTCTAACATTTGATAGTAACTGCCAAGGTATTCTTTCTTTTTTGCTTTTGAATATTATGGTAATTTACACATTCTCAGAGATATGTTGTATAAGCTGTTGAGTCTGCATTCTTTGCAGGTGAAGAAAGACAGAAATCTGTACCCCATCTTCATTAATAATTTTTATAAATATTTTGTCACTGTTACATTTGTTGATGTTATTCTACATTATATGTTCAAAATATGTATTTTTTAATAATTGATAATTTTAGATCAAATTTGTCACAAGGGAAAAGTTAAAGTAAACATTATATGCTCAAAGTTAAAATAAGTATATGTTTAAAATATGCATTTTTAATCATTCTTAATTTTATATCAAATACATCCCATATGAAATGCTAAAGTAAATATTATACGTTTAAAATATATATTTTTAATAATTGTTAATTTTATATCAAATATATCTTATATGAAATATTAAAATGAACATTTTGATCAAATGCTAAAATAAACATATGTTCAAAATATGTATTTTAATAATTGTTAATTTTATGTCAAAAATATCTTATATGAAATGTTAAAGTAAACATTATACGTTCAAAATATGTATTTTTTAATCATTGTTAATTTTATATCAAATATATTTGTTATAAAGTTCGTATAGTGGTCGCAGTTGTTGGTTAGTAAAACTGCAAGGAAAACACTGGAAACAAAGTGTTGAGTAAAGAAAGGTTTAATCTCATAAGAACAAGGATTAAGAATACAGTAATTCAATGCGATAAGCATACCACTGAAAAGCGCTATGACTTTGCGACCCATTTTTGCCCATGTTCCCTGAGCAGACGTTCTTACTCATAGCGAATGGACAAGTTTCATTAATAGTGTAGAGAAGATTAGTCAGTTTTTCTACACAACAATATCACTTGGGAAAAGTTAAAGTAAGCATTATATGTTCGAAATATGTATTTCTTAATAATTGTTAATTTTATATCAAAATATATCACAAGTGAAAAGTTAAATTAAACATAATCATGGTAAGTATATTAAATAATATTTCGCAAGGGTTCAGTTAATTCTTTTCGACCATAAAACTCAAATTCTATATTAATAAGAGGCACTATCAAAAGATTGTTGTATATGTTACTGGATAAATTAAAAGGGAACTTTTTTTTTCAGGAAGTCGAAAAATTGTTTGATGAAAGCGAATTTTTACCATATGAACCAACGCAAGAACCGATCTTTCCTCCCCAACTTCAGGTGAGACTTTATGGGTATACTCAGTGCTCAATAGCCATGAAAATTATTACAAGAGTAATAAACAGCATATAATTTGTTTTAATTTTTACAACTTTATTTTAATGATTAAATTCTGCTACCGAAAACTGGGTGGTCGGTACCGCACGATACCAAGTTCCATTTTTTTAAGAATCCTTATATTCTCTTTGGTAATGCCTCTGTGTTGCTTTGACCGGAAGCACCTCGCTGAAAAGTCGATGGTCTTCCATAATCGATATTAGACCAGCCCAAAATAGTCATAATTTTGTAGGAAGGTTTTAATACTGAAGATGCTGACATGTTTGCGATGAAGATATTCCACCATACTTTTAAAATAGCGAAAAAACAGCGGTGGGGAAAAGCATTTGATAAGAAAGTTACAGGAGGTGCTGCTATATGACCCAATATATATATATGTGTGTGTGTGTATTTAGGCAGTATATCTTCATTCAAACATGTTTCATTAAATTATATACACATATATTAAAAACTTCAAATTCTCAAGGCCCTCTATATTAAAATCAACAAACCAACACTCAACAAAATTTATTACGAGTGTAGCAGCAACGTATTGAATTACATGTAACAAACAAGTAAGACCATTTTGCATTTCTACCAATTTCCGGCCAGCTACCTTATATTGAAACGCTGGTTTTGCAACAAAAAACAATCCATAACAACGGCAGAAATTTTTAAATAGCTATAACAGAGCGCGCATCGCACGTGTTTTTTTTTTTTAAATCCCCATCACAACGTAATGCAGATTTTATCACAGTTACAATAAGTTTGTCTTTCTAATTTACCCCTTAGAAAAGATCAAAAATTCCAGCAGAGTCAGTTGCATTTACTTTTATGCATCTACCCTTAGAGAGGTATAAATTCATCTCTTCTATAGTCTCGACTGGACAATTCTGAATTCAAAATCGCTTCGATGTGAGACTAGGAAATTCTAGTAAAAACCACTTGTTACAGAAATCGCCGACTGAAACCCTAGCGTGATGCGGCTGTGAGCCTGTACTCCAACAGAGAAGTATATACAATGTTAACAAAGCTTGTTTCTAATTTCTATCATTTTCTTGGAGATCGTTAACAAATGATATCTCAAAGGAATTACAGATGAACAGGACCCTCTTTTCGCATAGCAGCTTAAGGCTATAATTGTCTGAGTGTTACCAGGGATATTTTTATATCGGTCTAATCGACTTTATCAGAGCTGCAACCAATACGGTAAGCACGGCATCAGTTTTCCCTTCAGAAAAGCGAGCTGGTTTCACCAGATGTCTGGTGTGAAATTCTTTCTTTTATGTGGCCGTGTTTCATCAGGACGTAGACGATTATAGCCCTCCACACCCCCTGCCCCTTGTATCTCTTTGTGGTTTAATAATTTCTTTAATTTCATTGAATTTTATAGAACTTTATAGTGAACAATATTTTTTAAGAAAATTTCTTTTTTTCCTTTTTAACAGTGAAGAATAAATTCTAACGGTTTCTTACTCTTGAGCATACAACATATAACTGGCCATACGTAAATATTTATTTCTGGAACCAAATTTCAACTTTTGGCTTTGTGAAGCGTTTGGCCTTCTGATTTGTTTATAGTTCTCGCATACGCGATGCGAACTGGAAACTGGATTCTTGTATATAAAAACTTAAAGAAAAGATAAGCAAAAAACAATATTGCATTTTATTAAATAAAGATTTGTTATTTTAATCATTAAATTGTTTTTAAAATAGTGGGAGTATTTTGTATATTAAATTAAAAAAAACTTTTAATTATTCCAAAAAATAACTAAAATTTATTGTAGTAAGCTATGCAAGTTAGTAATACCAACTGTACTCTGTATCCACTTGCACTTCTTTCCAAAATTTGGTTTTCATCGGTTAATGTATGGCTATTTTAGAGGGTGTGACGGATGGAAGGAAGGACTAATGGAAATCACAGAACTTTATATATAGATTCTAATATATTCCTAGAATTTATTATCATGTTCTCTTGATGCAACTATACAAGGCAACATATTTGCAAAGTTACATTGTAACTTACATGGTAAGTGGCGGTACGTTTTGGGAAGTCTACACAAAAGCGTTTTTACAACCTCTATCTAACGTTGCAGCAGGGTCATTTTGTTACGATCACGAGTCCCGTAACCCCTTAAGGTTGTAGGAGCACCTCTACTGTATCCAGAGTAGCAATGGTATTCTTGGGCAAGACAGCCTGACGGAGCCTAGTTTGGAGAGGGTTGGGCTTCTTCAGACTGTCTTGCCTGACTGGTTCGAAGTCAGAGTTTTTCTTCTCCTAGACCGGTTGCCAATAATCTTACCCATAGATCGAGGAAAGAGATGGAATCATACCTTTCTCAGGGGTAATAGTACGTAGATGAATGTAATCAAGTCGACAGGAATTCGAAATGGGCTCTCCGATTCCTTCATCCGAGCCATTGTCCACCGGAATATACAAAGCCCAATATACTCGTCATAACATCCGATCTGATAAGGTTATACTAAGCACTCTGCTGAGGGTTGTTTCACACTTTTAAACTGTAGTGTATCTGCGTGTGTGTTCTGTAATAAGAAACGAACAGATAATGGTGAAAGGTTTTGATAAAGGGTATAACCTTGGAAATGGGTTACAATTAGAAATACATTCAGGTCGAGTATGCCAGTTCTTACAGACGGTCTCTGATTAAGGGTGTTTTCAAGTATCTAGATATGACTTCTATGTAACTCAGCTTTCAAACACTCCTCTCGACACCTGGCTATAATGTTCCTCCATTACTCCTTATTATGAACAGAGATATACAATGCGTCAGCTTCTCCCAGCGATGAGTCCAACTGGTTATGTTCTTGAAACTGAAAAGCAAATCTGTGATACCGAATGAAATATCTTCTGTAGGCCATCTTAATTCACCAATAGAAAACGTGTACCGCATTTTCTTGTGTATAATACGACTTGAGTATAATACAGTTCCTTGTTTCTGAAGCTAGAAACTAGAAATAAATTACATCCTTGATTATAATACGACTACGTAGTACAGCCATCCCTCAGTATTTTTATATGTTGTACTATATTATCTATTAAAATCTCAATGTTGTACATATATTTCACTAAAACACTTAATTTTTCACGATACTAAAGAATAGAAATGAACCGGATATTTACCCATTGCATGTTTCTTATAATTTACGTTTCAAAACCTATTTTCGGGGAAGGATGTTAACTAGACATACTCAGAAATATATATTAATGTGTTAATTAATATATCATACTTTTCTGTTTTACATGACATTCTTATACTGATATATATTCATAAACTACGAAAATAAAAATACTGATTTTCATTAAGAATGAAGAGAGAAATAAATATGGCCGACATATCAAATACCTTTTGTAAACAATTGTTAACACTCGTCTACTTTGAGTGAACTTACAATCTTGCTGTTTCAAATTATTATTAATGAATAATTACTGTTTATTGTTGAAGCAGTGAAGCTGCTATGAAATAGTTTTAAACCGTAGTAGACAATCCGATACAAAAGCCTCTTATCTGAATATGTCACTTATTTCTATTACTGTTCATTTTCTTATGCAGTTAAGTGATGAATATGACGTGAAAAGTTTAAAATTCATTGGAGAACGAACAATATGGTTTCGTCCTGTGACCCTTTCAGAACTGCTAGAACTAAAACAACAATACCCCCAGGCAAGAATCGTCAACGGCAATACTGAAGTTGGTAAGTGATTAAGCACGATAGACTAATTATATATGCAGCCATCTTTAATTCATGATATTATTACTTCCTTTGGTAGGAAATTGTTTCGTGTTTTATTCTCGGCATTTGACCAGTTCATGTATTTGAAAATACTTATAGGAAATAAATCCTATTTCCAACACAATTGTATACGCACATACATACCATATTAAAACACACCCAAAACATTATTTTCTACCCAATAACAGACAATATTTATAAACATGCCAAAAAGATTCCACAATACAACATACATCGTTTAAATCAAAATATCTATTTGTTAGAAATTAACAGTACCATGCAAAATATTTTCACCAATCAGAGAAAACTAAAACTCTATTTTTCTCGGTTCTACTTGCGTGAAAAACTTATTATAAAACCTCACAGATTTCGACTTTCAGGGGCAGAAATGTGACTCTCCCCAAACCGTTCAAAAACAAGAGAAGACGTGGCTATATATTGTATCAATGCATGCACAAATATGTAAATAAAATGTAATTAAGAAATATTAGAAAAACAGATTGACGGATTAAGCTGTTGTTACGTGGCTTTTTTTTTTTTTTCATCTTATTCAGGTGTGGAAACAAAATTTAAAAATATGTTTTATCCCACACTCATCTACCCTGGTAACGTACCGGAACTAAATATTATTGAAAACATTCCCGACGGAATTATGATCGGAGCTGCTGTCAGTCTTGCCCGTATGGAAGAAATCCTCAAGGAAGAAATCAAAAGACTCCCGGGTAAGATTTCTATTCTGCAACTCTTTGCTAAGATAAATTTCATTCGATTTTTGTCCCTTTCAACTGAACATGTCTTTTAATTTTTCATTAATCTGGCCGAGTGGTTGAAACGTTCGTTTTCCAACCATACGTACAGGGTTTGAATCGACCCACGGTCGATTAATCAGGAAGGTAACTTCTTGTTATCGGTCTGGTGCATATATATATATATATATATATATATATATATATATATATATATATATATATATATATATATATATATATATATATATATATATATATATATATATATATATATAATATTTAGGATCACGTGTCCGAATGTTTGAAACATCCGTTTTCTGACCATGAGACCTGGGTTCGAATTTCACCGCGGTAGATTTGTTAAGAATGTGACATCTTGATGTTATCTGCGTGGGGGTAGGAGCTTTCCCAGCGTTCGGCATCTTTGGAAAGTGCCTGCAAATTATACCACGGGTTGACCCAAGTCTTGTGAGTGAAATATGGTAAATGGAGCTATTTGAGAGCCGTCGATGTTTGTGCTAGCGCGAAGTCACAAATCATCGTGACAGAGGGTTTGAGCGTGCTGGCCTTGTTCAGGTTGTTGTTCACGCCAGATAATGCGCTCTCTCCCATAAACTGTAACTAAGGTCCGCTCAGTATAACTGCAGTATAAACCACAGGCGAGCTCTGTTGGTATTGAACAAACAAAAATGTGTCTAAGCATGCGTCTACAACAGGGATTGGCTAGCTGCCTTGTAGACAGACGTCCTCGGATACGAGTGACCATCCATTAGGTAAGAATCTGGCCAAACAATTTTAACAGCTGGTCTCAAAGTTATCAAAAATATAGTGTGTGACAAAAATACCTCCCAGAAATACCTCCCACATAATGCTAAAACATTATCTGAATTAAAACACCATTGCCCTTTATGTCTTACCCTTATATAAGGGTGTTTCTGGTTGGTTTACGTGGAAGATATTTCTGCCGCACCTTGTAAAAAGCGACATTTTTTTTTATTTCGGATTACCATAACAATCTTACGTGCTACGTACTTTCAGTTTGTAGGCGATCACGGCTCTCTACAACTTCTTTTTTTTTGTTCATTTAAGTAACTTTTGACTTTTTACTATCCCTCTTTGACCTTATCTTGGCATCCATTCGCACAAATTCGGTAATTAGGGTTTTCTCTCTATTTCTCATGCTTCAAATATAACTTGTGAATCTTAAAATCTCCATAGCCTCTTTCCACATTATGCGCCACAAAAATTCCAAATATGTCTTTCAGATTGTAAGTATCAGTTTCATTGCAGTTCCTGTTTTCCTTAAAACTTCTCTGTTGTTCAAGTGTTTGGTCCATGATATTTCCAACATAGAATAATCAAATAGAATTATTTAGTCTTCCCATTCCGAAGTATGTTGTTCGTGTACATAAAATCAGCATTTTCATCAGGTTATCTATTGATATACTGGTACGTTTTCCTAGAGATGAGTCCGAGGTCAGTCTGTCCTCGACTACCGATTTTGCCTCCTCCATTGATACCTCAGTGAACAAATCCATCACATCCGAGACTAAATAAAGGGTTCAGTTCGAAATTCCAATGTATATCACCTGAAGAAGACCGGAGCGTATAATAGCCGAAACGTCGTGAATATGGCAATAAAGACAACAGTCTGAACGATGAAAATAGGGTAAAAAGGAAATGTGTTCTAGAATACTGGAGACTTTCCGAGTTATTCTAATGAAATTGAAACGGAAGAAATAATATAGGCATCATATTAGAATACAAACACACGAATGAAAAGCAAAAAAGAACAAGATAGTGAAACAGCCGACGAGTATAGACTTGGATTGCATAAGGAATTGGTGCACAAAACTCAACTAATAACAGTCTTGATAAGTTTACAAACAACGACTGCAGAAGCATGTATGCAGACGGGAGGAAAAAAGAAAGAGGAGTTGGACAAATATTAGATAAAGATAAGAAGAAATGTGTTATAGGATACTAGCTACTTTCGGCACAGAGTTATTTTAATGAAATTGAAAGGAAGGAATTCAATATAGTCATCATAGTATAAGCACACATGTAAAAAAGCACGAAATGAGAAACAGATATGTTTTATAACAAATTAGATAATACAAATTTAGTGATTTGTTCTCTACGTTTTATCAACACTTTACAGGTTATTTAAAGCCAGAAAATATTTTTAGATTGTAATTATTCTTATCAGATAATAATGGTTTAGTGATACAAGTTTTACTAATTAACTCATAGCTGTGGAGAGAAGCGGTGGATTTGTGCCTATCCCAAGGGTATTTGCGCGTAAGGGAATCTAACGTACTCAACTGGAATTGGAAGTCGGCTCCCTGATTAACAATTCCGAGCAATTATCCATTGCACCATCCGCAAACACAAGCTTACAGCACCTGGTATTCCTAAGCGGTTACCCATCTAAGTACTGACCAGGTTTGACGGTGATCGTACGAGAACAGGTGTTTTAAATTGATATGGCCGTAAGCCTAAATAATGCCAGTGTTCATTGGTACGTAAAGAACGGGGGAATAATAGTCAACACCTGGTTTGAATGACACTCAGGATGTATGTGGACTTGTAAAATCCCTGGAGGAGGCATAGATAACCAGGTAAACTGCCTAAGAATCAGCAAACGATTTCTAAACGCAGTACTACACTCCAAATTATACCCAATCACTGACTGTGGGAACGATCACATCCCAGTGATATACAAAGGATCCCCGTAACGAGTACCGTAACCTGTTAGGGGCGTAGGGACACTAGATGTACTGCAGCCATGGCAGCACTGATGTATCTAAGGCAAGATTGTCTGACGGGGCCCATCCTGGCTGGTTTGGAATTTAAATTAGATGTGCGTGTAGTGTAAAGGTTAGCGAATCGGAAAGTGAAATCGGAGAGCTGAGTTCGAATTCCGACCGAGTTCGTTAGGTTTACTTTCAAATAAATACTTTAGTAAATGCATGAATTCATCTATTCTTCCCTCAGTTATGACTGAAATATTAGGGTTGACTGGGATGTCTTGCTTTCTGCCGGCAACTGATCTATGAGACGGAAACTAAGGATCACATCACAAAAATTAAAGAAATCTTAAGCAACGCCTAAACTACAATCCAGTAAACCATAAATGACTCCGTTTGTATTGTGTAGAAAGACGACCGACCATCGCTAAAATAAGTTGTTGAAAATAGACTCTTTCATTCCCTATAAGACGAAGTCAACTCCTAGGACCAGGAGTTGCAAAATGTGTTGCAAAGTGTGTCGTATACATTGCCGCACTAACTACAGTATTCTCGATTGTATTATTAATTAATCCACGTGATTAAACCCTTTCTTCAATAACCTTTTGTTTCAATGTTTTCTTTAGAACATTATTCACCATAATTACAAGATTATATGAGCATTATAACATTTTGCAAACCTATGGAGGTGAAATTAAGAAAAAATTTTTAAAAATTACAAGAGGTCATTAACTCAAAATGGAACACTTAAAGGGAAGCACTAGTGACAATTGCAAAAGAGATCATCCCAAGAGAAGATAGACAAGAAAAAAAGAAAAGGAAAAAATGTGAATGACAGATGAAATTCTCAGCTAATGAAAAAGGGGGACAGGAGAAATGTCATTGAATGAATGATAATATAGAATGTTAAGTCAAAACATTAGAAATAAAAGCAACTAAACAAAAGATGAATAACTTAACGAGAAGTGTGAAAAGCATAGACATGACATGCATAAAAATAAAAGGATTTGCAAAGCAAAGAAAGTGCTCTTTGACAGGATACATAAAATCTAAAACAGGGACAATAATAGCGAAAAATGTAACGACTACATCGGAGAACACTTCCTTCACAACAAAGTAGAGAAAATTATAATACATAAAACCAGAGAAGGCGCCGTATTATTAAAATTTGAGATAAGATTAGTATTAGCCAAGATGAAGTGAAAGTGATACTTACAGGTGAAGAACAATTTGACGTGACAGAGATATATATAGTTCTACCGACGAAGGCCGGAAATACCACAGAAAGGATATGTGAGGAACGAGAAAAGAGAAGACTGCAATTTCTGTAACACATAATTAGAAAAGAGTATCTAGAGAATATTCCAGTCACAGGGCATTGAGGACAAGAGAAGCAGAGAGTAATAATGAGTAACCTACTATCGTGCGAATGAATGAAAGAAAAGATTGGGTGTAAATGGTTAAAAATATAAAGGGTTATTTAGAGGAACGGAAGACAAGTAGTCATGGAGAGTCATGATCTCTCACATCCCGAAAAGATATGACATATGTACGTATTTAAAAAAAAAAAACTCTTTTAATATTATGCATTTATTAACCTGTTTTGACTTGTTTTCCTCTTATATTACTTTTGATGATTTTTATCGCAATACTCAGATGATTTTAACATTCTACGTTTGGTAAGCAAGTAAACTGAATTGCTCAAATATCTTGAGCACACTTGAGCAAATGCTTTAGGCACTTAAATATGACTTAGTAAAATGCGAATTTTTTTTTTTTTTTTTTTTGCATCGTTGAGAAGAAAATGCTATAAATCCAAATTATCCCGAAGAGACGAAAAACTCTTCATTGTATAGTATAAAACCTTGTCTACGACAAACTAATTTATTTGAACGTATTTCAGCAAGAAAATTTAAGTTAACGACAGAACAAGTGAAATACATAGATATTCAGAGTACTCTTTTTCTTTTTTCTAAGTAAGGTTCACCCTGTACAAGGCCCGGGAGTCACTCGAGTTAGAGGGTTACGTTAGGAGGCAATTTCTGCGGATAGAAGTGGAAGATAACGGTGAACTGGTTAAGATTGCAGTGATCGGAGGGAAATCCCCTTGGAAGTTAATTCCACAGAGCAATGGTTCGCGGGAAGAATTTACTTCTCACCGATGGGATACGGAGGGAATGTGGGAGGTTTGCTACTATATAAGTGGCATGGCGTGTCCTTGCC